TTAGTTAGCCAATTTTGCATCGTTATAAAGCGAAAATCGGTTTATGGTAGTTCGGTTTATCGAGATTTGACTGTATATACAATAAGAATGATTATTTATATTATTACTTATCACCCATCATTATACTTTGAACAATAATCCAATCCCATTGTTTAATTGTTAGATCTGTTTTTTGAAAAAAAAACAAACATTAATATGATGTTATGTACAATAAGTTATTAGTAGTAATATTGTTCATTATCTGCTACTGTTAACTTCCCCATTATCTGTTTTTTGAAGTTACATTTCTTTTAATGAATAGATGAATGAATGAGTGAACGAAATAAAATAAACCAACATTACTAATTTATTACTCAAAGATCCATACATTGTTGTTCATAAGTCAAATGTTATTATATACTGTCTTTCGGTATACTGTCTTTTGATTAGCTCCTATTTTTTAACGATATATACCAGAGTTTCAAGATGTAGTTTTCATTTCATGTAAACAAAAAAATATCGAATAATTCAAATAAAATAGACAATTCAAATAAAACTAAAATGAATAATTCAGATAAAGAATTTGTGTTAACATTAATATTAAAAATGTGTAGTTGGAAAATGGCCTATTCCAAAAATTTTTATTAGGCACTCTAAATTTTATCAGTGCCTGGAATTTTATAATAGGATTTTGCTCCCTTGTCTTCATCACCTTGTTTGATGCTAATATCCTTGTTGTAATAAATCATTAGTTATTTAGTCATACACATTCATTTATCAGTCAGAAGTGGATATGAATCAATTTTAAAAAATCTGAAACTAATAATAAAATAATTTACCTCATTAAGAAATATTCTGTGAATAATTTTTTAATGCCACAATTATGTCTTCACTAATTAATACAGTCCATTCTCCCTATAACGGTCCTTCCGTTTATAACAAGACTTTTTTTGTATATACCATTACGTTAATTTTATTCATTATTAAAGAATGTTGATTGATGCGAACCAAAATCAGGTTTTTGATTTCTCTTTTAATCAATGATATAACCGATAATATAAAAATGAGGTAATAACAATATAAAACAAGAATGTCATCAAAAAAAATATATTATATTAAAATGATTTTGCTAAAATGGCGAAATATTTATTATTGGGTGAGATAATTAAGATAATTAAATCATACGCTACTAAAATAGCAATAATGACCTTTTAAATGCAAATAAAACCTGGATTATTACATTGAGGTACATCCGAAGTTTTGAGAATTTGGGTAAGGGCTTTTTAAATAAATGGTGTGACTATTTTCGGTATGGCAGAGAATTTTTATTACAAGTTATATCCAAAATCAGGTAAAGCAATTTTTAAGTCGTATGAAATTATGGGTAAATACAAAAAATTTTAAAAATAGAAAGATAAATTGTAATTGATAAAGATTTCATGCCTTTTCCATTTTAAGTAAATTTTAAATTATTAAATTATTGATATCTTGAAATGTTTCGTTTTATCTTGGGAAATTATATCAGATTCAGATATGGGTTTATTAAGAATTAATGAAGTGCATCAACAACTATGTTAATAAGATCTTTAGATAAAAATCTATTGGATAATTTTTTCAATAAGGCTTAAAAGTCAATTATATAATCCAGGAATCCCAGGAGGTTCTTATGCAAATATCGAAAAAACAAGTTTTTTTGTCAGGAGTTTTCTAAATCTGGAAAAGATTTCTGTATCATGTGATATAATCGTCGGCCGTTATAGACAACCCTTATCGTTATTGTTGTTTTACTTGCATATTATTAAATAGTAAAAAACCAGGCTTTAATTCCCAGTTAGTTATAGATTAGAGACAGCTATAGAAAAGGCCGTTCGTTATAGTGAGAGTGACTGTAATAGCTTCATCATTATGATGTTTGTTTTTATTTTTTTTTTTAAATATTTATTTATTTATTTAAGGAAAAATAAGAAAATAATATGTACATAATTAAAAAGAATAAAATAAAAAGTAGTAATTATTATTATTAATTATTAAAGCAATTATATTAGAATTAAAGAGAAATAATAATGTGTGTGAGTTGTTGTAATATGTAAAATGTGCGAGTAAAATTGGAAAAAAAAAAAAAAATATACAATCTATAATAATAACATCTAAAATATAAAAATCATTTCAAATCAATTGATAAGATTAAATATTAATTGATTATCATCTCCAATTTCTTTAATTTCTTTTTAAAAATAAAAAAATTATTATTATTAAGGTGTGTATGTAGTTTGGTTGATAGATGTCATATATTATTATATTTGTTATTTCATCTTTACCTATAATATATTGTTTTTCCGATTTTTTTCTCAACGTGGTTTCTATATTTTTGTTGACACCTTTTTTTTTATAAAAGAATTTCCTCCCAATAAAATTTTTTATAATCAATTTAAAAAATTCCGTGATTAATTAATTAATTATTATCGTTTAACCTAGATGATTATTCGATGTGTTGGTAGATTGATGATCAGAAGCAACAGCAGAGGCCTTCGTCATTTTATCTGCTTCTTTCCTTAAATCAATTTTTATTTGTAATAATTCTGTATAGTCTTTGAAAGAAAGCCTTGCAGGTTCTGTTGACGTACGATCATACTCGTCGTTACACCAAGTTTCGTGAACCACCAAAAACCTTGAAAATTGCACAGATTTACGATGATTGTCGTGATGAATTATTGGTTCTTCCTGTTGTGATGATGTTTCTTCATCTTCGCTATCATTTGTTTCCAAACATATTGTTGTTGGTATACATAATTCTTCTGGTGGTTCTGATGATAATAGTGATGAAATATATGTGGTAGAATCTCTTGTAGAATCCATCATCATCATGATTTTAATTTTGGGTTTTTTTTTTGTGAAATAAAATATTTACAAAATTATTATTTATGGTTTATTTTTTGAAATAATATATTGAAATATATATATTATATATGTATGTATATATGTATATATATATTAATTACAATTAAATTTGTATATTAACTAATATTGGATCGATTTGTATTATTTATATTTACAACAATTAATTTTTTAAATTCTTGTCTCTCTATATATACATATATTATGCATATATATGTATAATATATAATACTCTGCCCCAAGTTTACTAAAAATAAAAAAATTATAGTTAAAAGCACTAAAAAATCATTAAACACGAGACTTATTAATAGTGGTATAGAATGGGAAAAAAATGGCACCACAGATCAGGAGATATATGTTAACCGATTTTTCTGTATTGTTTAATGAAGGTAAGGGTTATTTTTTTGTTTTGAGTGAATTTTTATAAATTTGAGAATAAAAATTTTTTTTTTTTGATTTAAATTTTTTTTAAAAAATTTTTGTGGAAAAGGTAAAAAATTCGGATTTTTATACTCGAAAAAAATACTTTTTTATGTGTGGCTAATAAATAAAATACATTATGTTTCATAAATAGCTTTTTATATTTGTTGTAAAAAAAAACATTGTGTATGTGTAACATTAAAAAATGATAATTTGCGATTTAAAGAAATTTACATCTCTGGCAATTAAATTAAATGTTGGAGAGAAATTTATGAATAGCTTCAGCAATTTGAATTACATACTTGGCAATAGTCACTCAACATCAATGATGATATTAACGATTCATTTATTTTATACACTTGAATATATTGTTTGTCAGTTCATTAGTTTAGTCGATCGTATAAATACATTTTTGTTTTGCATGTTTTTTTTTTAGAATATTAATCTTAACGAATGAATTGCAATTTTAAATTTATGGTTTTTATTTGATTGATCATTTCATATACAAAAAAAATATTAATTATTATTATTTGTATCAATCAAATGTATGAAAATTTTGCCGTTGCAGAGGTCACGTGCTGCTGATATGAGAAAATCGATTAATTCGTCATAGTTATTTATAAACTGGTTTTTTTTGGTAAATGATAGATACACATATATTACACAACAATTGTGTAATAAAAAACATCCATTTCCTTCTATTTTTGTATTTTTGTTTACCATCTAAAGAAAGAAAAGGGAAAATAAATAGTTATTTATAATAGTATGTAATTTCAGCCGGAAAACTAACTGTTATAATCCAGGAACAATCAAGCAGTTGAACAATCAATCAATCAAATTTGATTTTAGGAAATCCAAAAAAATAAATTAATATGGCTTTTGATAATTAATAAATTATGTGGGAAAGTTTAATCAATAATGAAAATACCAAAAAAATACCTCCAAATATTTGCATCATGAGAATACTGTGAATATGTTTGATGTATCGTCTACAATTGTACGCAAGAATAATTATTATAAATAATTAAAAATTATTTAATGTGCATGGGGTGGATTAATTACTAGTTTTATTTCATGTGTTTTTTATCTACAATATCTACTTACCACGAGTTGCTTTTTTCTCCCTCTCACAAATTAATTTATTGTCTACATAAGCAAACTTTAAATCATATATGATATGAAAAAGACATTAAAAATAAACAAATAAAATGAGACGCGTTGTCCTAACTATATTGATATCAATTAATTTAACTGATTTACATTTTACCCCCAACTTGCTTTTCAATTCATATCGTCCTTCTCCTCGCTCCACATAGAAAACTTCCATATCCATCCCATAAAAACTTTTGGAAGGAAAGATGGTTAGCAACTTTATCAGATAATAATAATAATACATAAATAATAAATTAAAAATAAAATTAATTTATGTAACATTTTTATTATAAAACAATTACACATTAATATATTTATTCTAATCTCGTTCCTTGTTAAACCAATCAAAATAATCAATATTGATATTAATATTTTCCTTTTCTTTATGTAGTGTGACTTTTAATTAATATTTGGTATGTATTATAACGTTATTTTTATATTTATATGTATATGCTATGCCTGATGCATACTTATATGCTAAAAATAATAATAAAATAAATAATATACATATTAATATTTATTTACTTACTTTACTGCATGAAAAAATTGGTATCACGTGTAACAATTGCTATCATCATCATGATCGCTTTATTTAACTCGTGTTTTCAACATTAATCTAAAAAGTCAAACAACTAATTAATTAAACAACGACACAAACAATCACAAATACCATTATCCTAATTTACTCTTACTAGCTGATTCTCCTTATGTAATATCCGGATAAATGTCCATGATGATGCTAATAATTTGTTAAATTGACATTTTTTTGGCACATTGGTGCAGCGAGAAAAAACTAAAACAATTATTATTTATTATCTATAATTATCTAAATGTTTCTAATCTTCTTAATTTATCTCCATCCATAACTTTTCTGCTTCATCAATCATTACATCTTTATCACTTGCATAAATTCCACACCCAATAATAATGTTAATATTAACAATAATGCAATAATAATGCAGTGATATCATTTTACCATTTTTTTATAGCTTTTCCCGTGTATTTTTCTTTCAGTAATCCTTTTGGATCATTTAATCCAACCTTCCCATACATAAATAAACAATGCATTTTACTACTTACTAAATTATTAAGGTCACGTGACATTGTTTGGTGCATGATTCGGTTGATGTTGCTGTTTAAACAAATTGACGTCTTTGCTACTAATAATATAACCAGCTCTGTTTATGTACACCCCCACTATCCGGTGGTGATGTGTGTGAGTGCACTTGTGCATGTTCTACTATTTTATGGTTAGAATATTGAAGTTTCGATGTTTATTTACTAATGATATAATTTAATTTGAAAATATACGCCGAATATATTGAAGTTCCCAATCTTTTTTGTTGAAACATAAGCTTCACTATAAATAATAGTTAACCTTCGAGCAATTATCAAAACATCAATATATCATCATCATCATCAATGATGATAATAACAACTTTCAATTTTTTCTTGTAGTAGTAACATCAAATGCTAGACTTGAATTATTTTTTACGTTTTATTTTCCATTAAAGTTCTCTTATCAATAAGTTATCTTTTAATATTATTAATCAATAACCTATATTTATATGGTTGTCAATAATAAAATTTATTTAATAAGACAAAAAAAAGAATGCTAATTGCTAAATCGCGCGTGCGTAAACAAAATTTTTGTATAAATTTACACATTGTGATTATTACTGTTACTATCATTACTATTAACATTAATATCTTTTGAATAAGGGACCTATGTACATGCCTATACCAATTAATTACTAAGTTGGAAGCGTGTAAGTTTTTATAAAATTGTTGTCTAATATAAACATGCTTATTATTATTATTGCTGCCTTTACTAAGTTGAAGGTGGATTCTCTTCGCACAAGTATGCAATTAAACAAAATTTATTAATCATTTTCTTTTAGCAATCAAATATGTTAAATCGTTATTATTATAATAACAAATTCTAAATTCGCACATAATAGGCAATTGATTAATATTTGAATGCTGACTTTAGGGCCTCCATAAGAGGTTGTATGTAATGTTGGTTTTGTGGCATCCTTGGCGGTAAGAAAGAAATCGAAATACTTTTTGACTCCTTTTTCGTAAAATTTTAAATTGAAACAAACATAAATGATCTTTAAAGCAGCCATCACCATTACCTTTTGATTGAAATCCTTTATATCTTAACCAAGGTTGGGTGACGAAAGTATTTTGGAGTGTAAAAAGTATTTCGTCAAATGGGGCACTTGTGACGAAACGTGACGAAAGTGACAAAGGGTAAAAGTCAAAAGTCAAATTGTGATAAAGATGACGAAAATATAAAATTTAATTTAAACATTTTTTTTACATCGCAAATCATGTTTCTTGGTTGGATACTTAATTTTTGTACGCAAAATTTTAGTAGGAATTGCTGCTTCACATCTATTGCTGGTTTCATAACTTTCTTCAAAATCTGTAGAATCATCTGATAATTCTGATTGTTGAAATGATTCTTCATTTACTATTTAATGGAATGTAACCATACATCAAACACAGGACATCCTGTAGCTAATTCTTGATTATTGTTAAATGAACTTTCAGGTATATCTAATTTTAATGTTTGCAAATTCATATTATATGATGATGATTGAGAAGGAATTGGTGAATTGGGTGAATTAGAATTTGACATCATGAATTTTATTTACTCCATAATTTAAAATCTCCAAAATAATTGGTTTATTTTATTGTTTGTTGATTTCGTCACTTTCGTCACATTTATTTTCGTCATGTGATGAAAAGGAGACATTTCGTCATCCAACCTTGATCGTAACACATAAAATGTGCAACAGTCATTCTCAATTGAGAAGGAATGCCCTTATTGGCAGCAAGTTCAATTCTTGATATATTCAAAATTACACGCAAAGATGGAATCATAAAAGTTATACTTGATATTCATATATAAATATTCGTCACTATTTTATTCTGTTTATTAATAGAAAAAAAAAATATATCATGTATACAGAATCAACATCTTTGCATTTATTGACATCTCTCGTTTCTTTTTCGTGATATCATTATAGTTGCATGTCTATCTATCAATTATTATCAGTTTACTATATATTACATGAATAAAATCTAGATGCATACAAACTTCCTACTGATTTACATGAATTCTATAAATATTAATAATACCAATATACTAATACTAATACTGTCATTTCCATCTTTCCAATAGAAACGGACCATACCTCCCAAAAAGGAAATTACTACACTGTAAGTAACTCTTAATGTAGAGCATTTTTGACGGCCTAGAAAACCATAAAATTTGAGAAAATTTTTTTTTCCATTGAAAAGTTCCCATATAAATTATGGTAGATTTTCATATGAAAATTTGGATACGAAATTCTGATTGGCTAGTTTGAATTTCACGCATTCACACATGGTTTTTTAAGTAATTACCGATTTACATGAATATAAAAAAGGCAATGAATTCAATTTACTCTGATCAACCAACAACTACATTCACAAAGAAATCACGAATTTGATTTTCACATTCCTTTTATTGGCTATTCTTTCCATTTTCAATGCTATTCACATTAGGGATGTCCACCGAAACCCCTTTTCGGTAGTACCGAAAGTACTTTCGAACGTTTGCAAGTTAGAAACCTATACCGAAATTCAAAACCCATACCGAAATTCAAAACCTAAACCGAAAGTCAAACAATAAATACATTTGACAAAAATCACTTATTTTATTTGAATCATTATCAAAATTTATAATTAATCCTAATTTTTTTCTAAATTCAAAACATTATTTTCTTAGCATAATTTCTAATATTTTTTCTAGTCTCTTTTCTTTTTGGTTTGGTTTTCATCATCTATATCAATATCTATATCATTTGCCTCATAATCATTTGTTCTATTTTCACAGTATTCATAATCATTTCGTGATTTCTTTCTTCACCTGTCTGACCTCTTCACTTTTTTTATTATGTTCATCACTTGTATCTTCATCATTTTCATATCTATCAATCTCTTCTTTTAAATTAATTTCCTCGTCAGAATTAATAGTATATACACTACCTGGAAAAAAGTCAGGCGCATTTTTAAACAAAAATTGCACAACAATAATTAAATAAAAGGTTCCGTTTTGCAACTTAGGTTACCAAATTATACATGAAAAATTTCACATCTTTATCATTTTTATTAAACTAATATTAGAAAAATAAAATCTCAACCATTTATTTTATCTTCCAAAAAAAAAATAATTGCCAAAAAACGATCATACCTGAAAATTTAAGGCTAATATTTCGAGTTTAAAAGATTTCAAAGGAATTGTTCAAAAATTTATTAAGAATGATGTTTGGTTACAAAAAAAAAATAATAATAATAAAAACAAGAAAGATACTTATTGAGACTTTTATTATCAAAAAAAAATTTTTTTTCTCCTAGACATAATAATGGAAAATTTATAAAATTTTGAAATTACAAAATGAATAATATAAATTACATGTGTTTTTATGCAACTTAAAATGCTCCCGACTTTTGTCCGTAATGTACTTTTAAAACTTCATTATGTTTTTCAATTTTAATTGGATGAAAATTAAAATTAATTTGAATTTTTTTCTTTTTTTTTAATTGTACAGATTATATGTATATATGATTTAAGAAAAATTATGGTATACAGAAAAAAAATAATACTATAATGTTTTCGGTAGCTTGAAATAGTTTCGGTGGACATCCCTAATTCACATCAATTTCCTAAAAGAGTTACCTTTGGAACATGTGGTTTACCTAATTATCGTAACCAGCTACACTTGCTGTAGCCTCCTTTTCACCTGATCCTGTCGTTGCTAGAACAACTGATGCTTTTCTATCACTGGAATACTAAATTACAATATCATCGAAACCGACAACACTTGTATTCTTTACTGGGAATATCGTAATAACAATAGCAAGTGATCCCATTATTGTGCGGCCTTGTAGTGGAAGTAGTTGTCCAATTAAAACTAGAACACCAATTGCTCAAACAGTGCAAGATTTAGTACCAAAAAAGTTACCGAGTCCATACAGTATTGGAGTTGCTGTTAGGAGACTACCTGACAGGATAATATGCTATGCAACGTCTGTTGTTGCATCTAAGGATGTAGCTTTTCTCCTCCGGAGCTCGTTTTTTAAATTGCAGTTAAAAATAAGAATAATTTAATTTTTCATTATTAACGTTAAGTATTATTTAATAGTTACAACTTAATATAAATTTGATTGCTTATATTTTTAGCGTCATTATTATATTTGAAAAACAATCCAAATCCAAAAAAATATTTAAAACTTTATGAATTTCCAAAATTTTTGTTCGCTATTAATAATCTCAATGATTGCATATATAATATATTTTGATAAAAGGTGAATATATTGTGAAATAAAACATTCGTGGATAAGAAGCGATCGATTATAGTTAAAAAGCAAAAAGAAGAGTCGAGAGGGTTGGTGGACATTGAGTCCCAAAAAAGAAAATATCAAAAAATCAACGAATTGAAATAGCCCATATTCACGTGGAATTTATATATTTAAAAGGTGAATCAAATACAAAACTCATAAAACCTCCTCTGTGTGCGTGTGTTGTTTGGAGAAAACCAGGCATTAGAAAAAACTTCATCTACAAGGCGTAATTTTGGTCATGTTCATTCTAAAGATCGAGGTAATGGGTCGATTGTTTGTTTTAATGATTTTTATAGTTGGATATATTATTGAGGTTATTGAGTGGCATTAAAATGCCATTATTGGTGTCTCGATTACCACCATCGTTTTGGTGCAATTACTTTTTTGACAGTTGTTTATACATATGTACCGATTTTGTTTGAACCCCAAAATTCTGTACGGTATGATCATAACGTTATGAATACTTTATACTAGCAAAAACTCATTGATTTTGAGGTGAGGTCATTGGTTTGGTGGGCTCTTGAATAGTAAAATAGTTTTTTTAAATTTTTTTAGGGTTAATTATCAATAAGATATAAGGTTTGAAAAAAGGACCAAAAACCAAATATGAATAAATTTTTTATTAGATTCTTTAGTCTTGTCATTTGACATTTCCAATCGATTTCGAATATATATAGACATGAAAGATAAGGAAAAAAGTAATATTAGGATAACGCCTGGCACACGTCAACTGGATAAGCCAATAGGAGTCGCTTTCTATCTCTTCATTGAAAATATTTCTATTGACACCTCTGTAAAACATTTTTGGATATAATCGTATGTAGTGTGAATTAGGAATTTAAGATAGTGAAGTTTTTTATTTTTTTATTTTTTTATTTTTATTTTTGAAGATCTTTTCAATACAATTTAATTTTTTTTTGTTTTTCATAACAAATTTATAAATTTAATATTTAGTAACCTGGCAGAATAATCATATTTATAATTATCAGCTTGACTTGACCAAAGACAGGAACTATATAACTGTACTCAAACTCGACAAAGAAAATGATATCAGGACACAATGAGAGCTTCCGGGAAATAATATTTGGACGGTTCGTTAAGTAATTTAGCAAAAGTGTGGCCTGTGTTTGCGCTTATTATTGTTGCTCGTACTACGTTGACATCTGAGAATTCAACACTCTTAGGTGATCCCATGAAAGCAGAAGGAAAGACTTTAGGGAGGGAGATACCAGCATATTCCTGGCATCAGCCAAAGACGTGAAAAGATCTGATCCATTCGTTCAACAAATTCCAGTAATACGAATATTCCGGTTAAAAATTTCCAGTATCATTTATTTTGTGAAAATCGATCTGTAATCGGCATAATTCCCACGTTGCTCTGGGAATTAAATATTTGCATAAACTCCTCTGATAAGAGTACCTTTCTCATATGCGCTCCCATTATCAACTCTGGACATCGTGCCGAGGATATCCCTTGATAGATAGACAATCATGTTCAATAAAGAAATTGTAAGTGCAAAAGATTCATCAAAATATGCAACTAAATATTCTCTTCCTCGCTTGCAGGAAAAATTGACTCTGCCTGTATCAACATTGAGCACATTGAGATGGGCAACATATTTTCGTCTATAAAGGTATTCACACACTCCCCTCAGTAGCTGAGAGACAGTTGGTGGCTTTACTGACCGGAGACATCCAATGCTAGTTTCTTGATATTAGTAAAGGATTGATTTTTTTTGTTACACAATCATTTAAAGATCGACATACATAACAGTGAGCAATTATGTATGACCTTCAAGAATAGTAGTGAGCAAGTGTTATGCACTAATGCAACTCGAGAACATTCATTGAAATCATACTCGTTATTAGTCGCTTCATATGAATGATACTGTTCAGTTGTGAACATTATGTTTGTTGATAACAACTATCCCGTGTTGAAGTCCTCCGATGTCTATCAACATCGTTTCATCCATGATGATTTCTCCCACACAGGTAACAATGTGGCAAACTTGGCCACGAGAATAATGATAAGTAATTTGTAGCTCTCTTCTGTCAAGTCTGCTAGATTACTGACTGATGTAGTACTATACATGAGCAATGTTCTTCCACGTTTCAAAGTTTGTAAATTTGTCTGTATTTAACCCTGGTTTGGGCAATCTCATAATAAAGAGAATAAGGAGACAGATCCTCAAGGAGGGAAAAAATACTGTTTATAATCACATAATGATCGATAAATGACAGTGTTGTGTTGTTCACTCGGTGCTAAATAATTAGAGACAAGGACGGCAGTTTTCTGGTAGTTCACAATTGCTTCAATATGACCTGAATCTACATTTACCTTGTGTGCTGGTAACACCCCCATCTATAACACAATATCTCATAAGATGTCCTTGTCCAGGTTTCTCTAGCAGAACTAACAGGTTGTTCTTTGCTTTCCTGAACATTGGTGGCTCTGTATTCTACCCCCCAGAAATATCGTGTAGTAGTGAAGGACGAGCATTTGAAAAGGTAGCAGCTACAATTGTTTTGGACTGGTTGTCAATCCATCATTTTTGTTACGTGCCTCTGAAAAAAAGAGGATAGAATAAAAGATAACGTATTATTAATTTAAGTATATGCAGATCAAATATAACAAAACAATCCGCTATTGTTGACCAAAAGCATCTGATTTTCTGATTCCATGTTAGCGGGGACACTTTGATTCAATTGTTAATACAACGATAGACAAGATAGAATGAATAGATGAAGATGCGTTATTTAAGTAAACTCACCTGAAATGCCTTTTGATATAAATATAAGGGAACGTGAAAAAGAAGTAAAAAGCACAAGTTAGTCAATGTCACAAAGCAAACATATGCTATGATAGTTACTTGGATTGCAACACATATATACCTACCAGTATATCTAGTTCTTAGTTCTTTTGGCTTGATTAAAGGATCTCCAAACGATTGTAAAAAATTTTTTATCAAGTCATAGTCAGATTAGATGATCGACTTAAAAAGTTTTAACCCCTGAAATTCATGTTATAAATTATCCGTTATAAAACAGTGAGAACATGGGTGAAACTTTCTCGTGTCTTTAATGTTGCTCAAGCACTTGAAAATTATTTAGAAAAAAATTACTTGTAAAGTCTACCAAAGAAGAAATAATATATAATATATTTTTTTAATTAATTCAATTCAAATTTTTCATTTAATTGTTCACTGTTGATTTTAATTTACGGGAAAAAGAAGAATTATCAAATACAAAGGGATAATACAGTATGTGTATATGTGTATATGTATACATATATATATATAATGTTTTAATATTTGTTAATTCTTAAATTTTTTTACCTTGTGTTGAATGTCCATAATAAAAACAAGCCATGCAAATATATCCTTGTGTTGACGTTGCCCAAGATGAATTATCCTTTGACAATCGAACGCCTATTGATGATGTTGCCATTGCCATTCGTGTTATTGTTGTTGTTGAATTAATTGAAGTAATATGAATTATGAATTCGCAGATGTAGACCTATTGAGCAATGTTTGAACAGTATCAATGGTAGATATGGGCCTGTTGATCAATGTTTAAACAGTATTGTTAAAGCAAATTATTACTACTACTGTATTACAACTGCTGCTACGATTATTGCTGTTGTTGGATGAAGTCATTTTATTTGAATGTTCAAATAGTGATCCCCATATTTTTGTCGAATTTGAAGAAAAACTAGAATAATTATTAGCAAAATTGGTTTAAAACTTGAGAGACGGCCCTTTCGCTCCGATTGAATATAAATATAAATTATTATAATGTGTTAAATTGAGTGTTTGAGATTTCATTTTTTTAGTATACGAACGAACCTTGCAATTTTCATATATACGTGTCTCTCAAATTTCTGTTTTATAAATTTCTTGCTTCAATGAAGGCTTCATCCCCCCGCATCATGACAATTGAGGAGCAGTAGTGGCTTTTTGGCACAAAAATTCAATTACTCCCCTGAATATATGCTGTAAAAAGATTTATTAGATTTTATGTCATCAAAACAAAATTGTATCTTATTTCCAAGTGCTGGAAACCAACTATCATCTACAATTAATTGCATCCCTTTCCACAATGCAAAGTGAAACAATGTAACACTACTTTAATAACTATTTGCTAGCTTTTTCCACAAAATGAAGTGAATGCAACTAATGGTTACATTTTATAGATTACTAATGATCTAAGACAAGGAAAAAGGCTAAAGACTTCATAGCAATGAACTATGATCACTACCAATTTAATTTTTTTTTCACGCATTGTATAAAAAATTTGGTTAACTACCCTTTATATTCTTGACCTAATTTTCCTCGAATCCTATGATCTACCAGAGGGTTTATTACATAGTCTAGGCACAGAAGCAGTTGACTGATTACATAAAGAACAGGGAATGCGATTTTTAGGCTTTATATGTTCACAACTCCCTTAAAGGTGGCAACACCCGTTACCATATACTTTTCTAGTGTTATGTAAAAACTCACAGGTACAATCAATCGCCTTGCATTTTTGATATTCGACTAAATAAATCAGAAAAAAGATCTGCTAATAATAAAAAAAACCACAATATGATTAAAAATGCAACTTGTGAAGGATGTTGATTATCCACTTTCAACATTCACAAAGCATTGGCAACACATAAATAGGAAAATCCATGCCCACGAACCCCCCACCGATACCAACCAGGCTAAAATCACTGAATCATCGGGAAATTAAAACTTATGTGAACTCACGCTGGGTCAAAACTGACCAGCACTATAAGGAAGTGTTAACAGAATGCTGGTCAACTTTGACCCAGTATAGTTTTAATTTCCTCGAACATTTGACGAATTAGCCAATGATTGGTTAGAAAGACTAGGCGAGAAAAAAGATGATGATGTACTAGTGACCCTGAGTATGATATTGCAGATGAAGAACCGAGGTACAATTTGAAAAATCCAAGATCCATATCATAACGAACAGAAAATTAAATGAGGGTCAAGTATATGATTATTATTATTATGAAAAAGTAATACTGGACTATCATACAGAAGGTGAACCATTTGCGTTCAATGAATCAATCGTGGGAAAGAAAGATTAAAGATGAGGTCCGTATTCTATGAATTAATGAACGAATAAATTAAAATAACTATTACAAAGACAGAATCGAATTGCAGTAAGAATTGAGTCAATATATAATGGAATCATTGATAATGTTGAAGCTGAATTCGTTTGAGAAATGCTTCTACTTCACAACTGTAACATTCGAATAAAGATAAATATCTGCTAAATAAATTAATCAGTCAAAATTACATTAAATAAAAAATCACATCAAACAATATTTATAATATATTAAAAATTAATTCTAATCAATGATTCCAACGCCTCTTCCAATCTGTACTCTCCTTTTTTTTTCTATTAGCAATTAACCAAGTTCTTTATATTGTCGATAGCTTCGAGTTCCAGATCAACTATAAAGTTCTAAATCTCGCCTACATGCCCAAAACAAGCGTAAGCGTCAAATAATTCTCGCGTTTGCAATCTGGGGAGAGTTCAAATGACTTTTTATTGCAAAGATGAAGAAAGTATGTTCCATATTATAACCGACAAAATCAATAAAATCAAATCTGAAACATATCTGGTGGCGTCCGTCACTGAAAACCTTTGTTTTAATATTAATGTCGTACAAACAAACAAACAAACAAATAAAATTTGGAAATTTTTTTTAATTTATTTATTCCACAACCTCAAAATTTAAATTGATTTATTATCCTTATCCAATAAACATAAACTAATTAAAACAAATGGGAAATTATTATAATTAGACCTTAAAATAGTATTTCCTATAAATTTATGGTGAACTTTTTTTTTTGCAAATAATAATTAATTTTTATTAATTCATAATATGCGAATATTCACGGTGGTTGTATTAATTCTCTTGTCATACCTCTCTCTTGAAGTCATAGCGGTAGAATATGCGACCTGTGAAGCATATTTGAATTCCATCCAAAAGAATGCTAGCGCTTGTGATGCTCTCCACCCCAATGATAAGAATATTTCCCCATGTTCGTGCTCGCAAGATTTTATTAACTCCTGGACTTGGTAAATAGAGGCGTTTAATGAGATATTCAAATCCCATTACATTTATAAGTTATTATTAATTTCCAGTCATTGCGATATTTTATCATTGTCTTTTTTAGTTTTCACCTTTGCGTCCTTCATTCTTCTAACGGTCAAGATAATAATACGCCTCAAAGTAAGTATCAAATTTTATATTGAAATATTCCTTATTCATCTATTTTTTTCAGGTGAATACAAACTTATGAATATGCTTGCCTTCTAAATATTAATAGACATCGTAGATGGTTGTCTCAAGCAGAATTACACCGATTTGACTGTCCCTTCCAAACCAACTTGTCCAAGCAGCATCGGAATCCCACCAAGTCTCATTAATACCCCACTCTCGACAACTCCTACCCCAACCCTGGATGTGGTTATTAGCTCAACTTCGGATTTTTTTATCCCAACCTTGAATGTTGTTACCCTAACTTCAACTATGGATGTTGTAACTATAACCTCAACTACAACGATGGATTACACAACCACCACTAAAAGACCCATAAATGCCCCCAACAACAACAACAACAACAACAATAATAATAATAATAATAACAATAATAATAATAACAACAACAATAATAACAACAACAATAACAACAACAACAAGAGTTGCAATGTGAATGTCAACGGAACAGCTACTATCAATAAGATCGAATGCAATACTAACGAATCCATTAATATTAACACCATTACTAGCTTCAATTTGCTCAGTGGTTTATTTTTGGTCGCATTCATTTTATTGAATTAAAGAAGGGGCAATAAAATCGTAATAGAAACAAACAGGTTCATATTCCACGTCGAGCCAAAGCATAAGCTTTGTGAGAGCGCTTTGGATCGGGCAGGTTTCTTCCCATGCAACTCAACATTTATTTTTTCATCCTTCATTGCTGGTGACATGTATCCTTCGTTGTATTTCCTTAGTCAAATAAATGGATTTCCCTCATGATAATAATATTAATATGGGGTTTCGCTGAATCTCGAATTATGTCATGTAATAAATGGGCTTGAAATCACAATTGTGTACAAGTGTTAAATATTAACAGCTAATGAAAACGTTGTTATACAATATTTTTTCCTGATTCTTTTCCGTGCCACTATGTTAGTTTTTCTGCTTTAATTCTATATATAATAATAATTTGCATTAGGAATGAATTATGTACTAAAACACCATAATTTTAACTTGTGTCTGATGAACATAAAAGCATCATCAACACACCCAAAAAATCCCCAAATTGCAATATCTTTTACAACTATCTATTTCGACAATTCAATATATCTTTTTTCAAAAAATATAATATTTATCAAAAATGCTTACTTTTTTACTAGTAAGTTTCTTATGGATTGATAATTAGAATTTTCCCTTCATTACAAAATCAACTTAATCTACATCAAAAATTCAATGAAATAATTAATTTGATAGAACTTGGAAAATTAAAACAAATTAAACACTTATTTGATTAAAAAGTTGAACTGGGCTCAGATTTCTCTATTGTATATCTAGTTCATTATGCTCACGATATTATTCTTTGAGTTCTCCCGCTAGAGAGAGTGCATGTCTCTTTGATTTTTCCATTTAAAATTTATTCGAAAATTATTTTTCCTCTCTGATTCATAAAATCGCAAGTTATAAAGGAAAAATAAAATAATTAATACTATTAAACTTAGGTTTAATAAAGTTATCCTTTTTACACGCCTACACAAGCACCCTCTTTGTTATCTTTGTGGCATGGACAATGATCTCTGGTTGCGATGATGACCAATTAAAAAAAAATTTTTAAAGAAACAGTCTATGAATATACTATTATAAAAATAAACGTTATTTTATTATTCCTAAAAAAGCAATTAAAAAAATTACTGGTCACCGCAGATCTATAGTAATAGTAAATTCGAATTTACATAGTAAAAAAATTTTATAATCGAATGTCTTACATTCTTGCTTGATACCCTCCCTCACTGTGTAGCAACCACCACCAAATCTAATAGATAGTTTTAAATTGAATTAATTAATTATTGGTGATGATCTTATATTTTTTTAAATGTCTAAAAACAGTAAAATATATTTTTTATTTTAGTTAACATAATAATAATAATAATAATAATAATAATAAAATAACAACTTTGTAGTCAACCCTGTTAAACCAAAGAAACAGTAAATCCACCCCGTTAAACCAAATTTGTTAAACCTAAATACTAATACTAATTTTAAACGGAAATAACGGGGTTGACTGTGTGGTTTGTGGCCTGTACTAGACCCTATAAATTATTTTAATCTTTCTCAGCATAGTAGTCGAACGATTTGTCACATTAAACGATTGGGAAGTGCATTTTCCGAAATT